AACAGGAAATTCCAGCCAGAGCCGAATGCTCGGTCCTGCCTGCCGCCCCCATCCCTCAAGACGTGTGGGCCGGGCCCAAGGGATGGCCCAAGATGGAGTATAAGAAAGGCGGGCTTTGCCTTTCTGGGTTTGTGTTTCTAATGTTTGCCCCGAAGGTTGCGATCCCAAGCACTGAACTGATCGTGCCGTGGGGAGGAAGTCCACGCTCCCGGCACCTGAGGGAACGCGTTGGGCAGAGCCACGGACCACAAAAGCAGGGGACACCTCAGGGGACACCTCCCCCCAGGAGAGGAGGACAGGGTGGTCTTCAGGGGGGGCCATCCCTCATGTCTGCATTTAGCTGCAGGTGTGCCAGCAGATATAATGTGGCAATAACACCTTTCTTGGTGGAATCTAGGTCTCCATTAAAAGCCGTGAATTAATGACGAGCTCAGTGGAGAAGATATTTGCCAATTAACAAGCAGCAGCTGTTTTTCTTTCTTTTTAAGGGCCCAACTGATTAAAATTGCATGCCTCATTTAAGCAAGAGTCTCGTGTACTTTACCTGGGGAAAAAAAAGCCCGAGCATCCTTTATTCAAACAAAGCACATGCTTTTGTGATTCATTAAAACACTTTCAAACTGAATGCAGATTATCAATCCACAGCATTTTCACTTCTTTTGTGTAATGTGCACATTTTCAATTCTTTGTGTAGCATGATCTGCCTCCTTAAGGAGAGTCTGCTTTGGCATCACAAATATAAGAATAGTTAAGGGAGCAGCAGTCAGCCAAGAGGAAGAGCCACCTGATCCTCACGACCCAGGAGCCACTCCGGAGAGCATGTCCCTCCTGCGACCTGACAGTGAGAAGCTCGGGAACCGCGTTCTCCAGCTCAGCGCCAGAGGCCGAGTCTCCATCCAGCCCTTGTCTCGTCTAATTACCCACGGAAGCCACGGACTGTGGTGACAACGCCCTGGACCACGGGACAGGTTATGCATGCCTGCCTCTCGGACGCCAGCCTGGCGAGGAGGCCCACCCAGCCCAAAGGCACAACCCTCGTCGGCTGATAGACAGCTACGATGGTTTCTGCCTTTCTAACAGGGCCCGAATGGCTGACCGGCTCCATGCGACTCTGGCATCAAGTCCGGAAGACCGTGCCCTGCCTTTGGTGTAGTAAGAAGGATGCCAGTGGCCCCCTGAGGCTCGCCGTGCTTAGTTGTGCATCCAGCTCACCTGGCAGGTTCAAGTGAACTCCCCGGCCAGGGGGCAATGGATCCAGCTCCCAGCAGGCAGGAGAGTGAGCTGAGGGAATCTGTGTTTCCTTCTCCTCATCCTCTTCTGCCTCTGGGCCTTTCATTCACCCTCCATCCACCCACCACTTACGAAGGGTCTTGTCTGCGCCGGCCACAGCTGACCCATCCCCCCTCCCTTCAGGAGCACACAGGCTTGGGGTGTTTGTATACTCACTGGTCGTAGATACTGAGACCACGGGGCTGTATTCATACTCTCCAGAGGGGCTGGTGACCTTCAGTCGGAACCTGTACAGTGTCCGTGGCTCCAAGCCTTCCACGACGTGCTTTGTGGCGTATCCCCTAGACAGGAGGAGACACACATGCCGATGACATCGCCAGTGCTGACGGCGTGGGACAAGCCATGCGGTGAATACTGAATGCTGTCTGTTTCCATTCGGGTCTGGTCTTGGTTGCTGTCGGCCTCCCCCACTAGGCTGTGAGGGCCGTGAACAACAAAGGACAAGTCACAAGTGGCACATCCGACCCTTCCCACCACGTGCCCTCTCTGCTCCGCCAGCTAGCCCAGTGCTGACACGTAGCTGGCACCCAATGTCATACTTCGGAGAAATCGTTTACCCATGATACGTATCTCAGTTAACAAAGTCTCATGTTTGAGAGAGGAGACAGCCAGCCCAATAGCATACGTGTGGGCGGGTGGTGAGGCTGTCTCAATGACAGCTACGCATCCATGGAGGACAACATAAGACCGTAGGGAAGGGACCCGAAGGAATGAAATGCGTGATTGCGTGTAGCCCATCAGCACCAGAGAGAGGGGCTGCAGAGCCAGCGGCATGCAAGAAACGACTCTAACGTCCAGCCACGTGGCTAAGTTCACCTCGGAGGATGATGTGGGAAACAGGTGCTAAACCCTGTGGAACGGAAAACCCATCGGAGGCCAGCAGTGGGACTCGCTCGGCTCCGGAGGGAAGAAGGACCAAGTCTAGTCATGGGGAGCCTACAAACCGAGCTCCAGGAGATGGGGGTGGGCAGCCTCCCCGCCTGCTGGGAAGACGCCGGGACTCTGCGGAGGTGGGATGACCCCGGCCCGCGGCTCAAGGGCAGGTCCTGGGGCCCTGGCTTTGAAGCCATACGCTTTCTAGGGAATCAGGTCTCCGAAAGTCAACAGAGCGGTCTGTATTCCCCAGTATTGCCCCAAACCTCAGCTTCCCTCTGCGGCCAAAACTTTTATTGGCATCCAACTAAAGCCCATGTATCTCTTTCAATTCCTATTGAATTGGAATTTTCCCTATACCTCGAAGGCTTGCTTTTTGAGGGTGTGTGTGTGTGTGTGTGTGTGTGTCCATCTCTTTCTTCCTTCCTGCTTCCACACCCAACCCAGCTTTGTTCCCTCCTTTGGAACACTCCAGAGCTGCCTGGTCTCCAAGCTTACCATTGTTCTCTCCACGTTCTGCCTTTAATTTTCCTTTCCTTCTCAGCAGACCTCTGCAGAGGCCAGAATCACACTTTGAAATTCACAACCAGCATTTCAAAGATGTCTATGTGCAACCCAGATACTTATATATCAATTCTATTCCACGCGATTCAACAACCATATCTAGTACCCGTAACTTGTGAGGTGCTGGGCCAGGCTGGGGACAGTGAGGCGGTGACAGCTGAGTCGGATGAAATGGGTGAAATGACAGTACTGGAGTTGGCTCACCTGAAGAAACCGGGCATGATGCATCAATTCAATGGCCTCGCCCTCTCTCCCGCAGACCCCACTGGAAGGCGGTCTTTCCCCAAGAAGCAGGTATACGGCCAAGTGCAGGTCTAGAGAGCAGACCGTACACTGCTCCAGGGGAGGCGAATCCTTGGGGGTAGTTTAGAAGTCCTCTAAGTTCCATCTCCCAAACTCACCTGTCAGATGAGCAGGTCCTCGGCTGTGGGAGTGTGTGAGGGGCAGTCAGGGCCCAGAGGAATGTCCTCCAGTGGGGGACTCTGATGGAAAGTCAGGAAAGGAGAGAGCCGCGTCCATAACAGACAGGCAGATGACTCCCAGGCAGACAGGCCAGGGGAAAGAAGGACCCAGAGCCTGAGAAAGAACCATTGGATCAGAAGGACGAGGCATGCCGGGGCGGGGTGACGGGGCAGATGGTCTAGGGTGCAAGCAAAGGTGACAGACAGCCCAATGGGAGATGGCACCAGGCGAGTCTGCCTGCGCGAGGGCCATGTTTGAAAACTGGAAACAATTTACAAAACCCTTCTCCTTTGCTTGTTTATCCAAAATGTAAAATTTTAAGCTGAAATAAAGTCCTGAACACGCATTGATCCCAGCAATGAAGTTTGACTCCCCCGCTGGAGAAAGAGACCGCCCGGGCAGAATCAGTGGAAGATGCCAGACAATGAAGGGCGACAGAGCAGCCTCGTCAGCACCCGCCGTCCCGGCCGCCCAGCAGAGGCATCGGACACATGAGTGACACCATCTGGATCCTCCGGCCCCAACAGAACTGCACCAGCCGAGACCACACGGAGCAGATACACCACGTCCACCCTGCCAGACTGTCAAATCATGAGCAGACGCAGGACCCGCTTTCTCCCTTAGCCTCTACATGTGAGGGTACTTTGTTATGCAGCGATAGATAACTGATACACGTATCAACAAAAAAGAAACTATAAGAAAAGCAAAGAAGAAACAATACCAACAGCTGTAAGAGAAACATTTGAATTAAGAAACCAAGACGCAGAGAAGTGTTAAAAATACCATCAAAGTAAAAGCTCTAAAACAAAGATAAACATTCAGAAAAGCTGCATGGGCTAAAAAAATAATTTTAAACAACAAATATATCAGCCTGGCACAGATGGTCTAACGAGTGGGTGGATTTTATCATTTTGTGAGCCTAGGTCCATATCTGCAGATACTTGAATCACAGAAACTGAGCCCTCAACACCTTAAGGCATCTGCAAAGATCTTTAGGAGCTCAGTGAGAATATAATACCCGAGTCTCAATGGAATTCAACGCCAGGTGTCAAAAATTTAACATAGTTTCAGACCAAAAGATAACCAAAAATGCGCCCCCCTCAAAAAAAATCCAATATTGCTAACTATCACGAGGTCACCCTGAAGCAAATGGCACCTTCATAGGCCCCAGAAAGGTGACTATCAGAACCGTTCTAGAAAGCAGATGTCACTGAAGACCCTCATGGAAGGCTGGAGGCACCCATGACATCAGCAGAGATGGCCCCACAGACAAAGCAGGTGCCACAGCAGCCCGTTAGGGCACCTCACAGTGGTTACAGCACAGACTCGGGGACGACACCGTGACTGCCACGCAGACACAGGATGACTGACGGAAGCCTGTGGGGAAGTGCAGCCTCACCCAGGCACAGTAGGTCAAAAAACGAGCGAGTCTTCTATCTCCACAGTGGAAGGAAACGCACAAAGCACGGAGCGTACCCCTCTCTTTCTCAGTTAATAAGCACGTATTTGATGCAAGAGCTGAGCCAACACGAAATCTAAGAAACTAGTTACCAGCCGCCCAGGGACTCGGCTCCGCACCCCGTCGGTGCCCCCGCCCCCAGCACCCCCATCCAGCCTCCTGCTGGTGGCGCTGAAACTCCTTTCTGCAGACCAGACTCTGCCCGGCCGCTCCACCCTCCCTGCCGCACCTGCTCGAACGTCTGGCATCCCAGACTCCACCCGCGCCCTTCCCATCCCGTTATCCCAGGTCTCTGCGGAAGACCAGATTACTGTCCACGAATATTTGGTGCCCTCCGAGGATTCCGCGTCCCTCCGCGATTGCACTCAGACGTGGCCGGGTGGCCCGCTCTGAGCAGTGAAGCATTAGCAAAAGGATGGTATGTCATTCTGAGCAGAACACTGAAGAATCACCATGCCGTGCATTGGTCCCCCATGTCACACAGACCGACGATGGTCAGGCAGGGGCCACGCCAGGCGCCCGGGCTGCAGAGGAAGGTCAGCGCAGCGTGGGGCCGTGGCCGACACACAGCGGGCCCTCAGCGCGGGAAGTGGACCGCTGCCTCACAAGCCACCAAGACTCCAGAGCTGACGCTGCACGCTGTATAACCCGACCTCTCCCGGATGTGTACGCATCCTGTTTTTCTCACGTCTCGTTCGTGGTCCACCAGCAAATTGTTCAAATCCGCCTTTAAAACACACCCAGATTTCGACCACGGCTCACGCTGTTGCGTTCTCTCCCCCACAAATGACTGCACGAGCTTCCCAGTCAGCCCCGCCTGCCGCCTCCAGCCCAGTGTCGCCCAGCAGACAGCGGTCCTCGGAAAGCGCGAGCCACGTCGAGCCGCGGCTCAGCGCAACGCCCCACGATGGCCGGCCTGCTCTCGGAGTAAAGGCAGTTTTCTCGATGGCCCCAGCCGTCCCCCCGCTGCCTCGGACTCATCCCCATCACTCTCCTCCTTGCTCACTCCACTCCTCGGTGTTTCTGGAACACGCCAGGCGCGATCCCATCTCAAGGCGACTTCGCTCGTTATTCCTCCTGTCTGGAACGTTCTTCCAGATGCTCGCAGGCTCCAGAGCACCCGCACGTGCTCCTTTACTCAGATGTCGCCTCCCCACTTCCACCCCCGGCCCCAATTTTTCCCAGGCTTTTTCCTTGTTTCTTATCATCACCTGTCATATTCTGTATGTTTACGTTTATGTACCTTCTTTGTCATTTGTTTTCCTCATCATGAGAGGGGACCTTTTGTCTATTTGTCCAGTGCTGTATCTCCAGCATCCAGTGTCTGGCACATAGTAGGTGTTATTAAAACATGCTGACTGAATGAATGAAATGCATAACATAGGCACCAATTATCGCAGAGGGGGTGGACGGCACAGTAAAGGGAGCTTCTCGGCAGAGGTAGAACCTGACTTGAGCAGAAGAAAAGATGGGGCAGAGGGAAATCTGTCCAAACGGGGAAAACAGCTGAACACACGTGTAGAAAAAGGCAAGACACGGTCACCGGACAGTGAGCAGGTCTCGTTGGAGGGCTCTGCTCAGAAGTGGGACAACCACAAAGGTCGTGTGCACACTGTCAAGGGCATCCGAGTCAGTCTGAGGAGACCCAGCGAAGACGATTTGACAAAAGGCGGATTCAGAGGACAATTCACGCAGCCATGCTAGAGCGAAGGAAACCGAAGGCAGAACCGAGGAATAAGGCCACCTCTTCCCCCCAGCAAAAACGCTGGGCAGTTGCGGGAACCGGGGTTATAGCAATGAACTAGTCGGAAAATGGAGCTTGCGTCCTAGTAGAGGAAAATGTCACCATCTAATGGGGATGTGCAGAAGGGACCTGCAAAGGGAGAACTTTCAAGGCCGGGTAGCCAGCTGAGGTAAGATCACGTCAAAGTGACACTGCGGATTCGTGACTGGCCAGTGGGTGACCTGAACGAACACTGCCAAGTCAGGCTGCAGCTCTTCGACCTAGACCCCAAGGTCAGACATTCCAGACAATGGTTTTTACAAGAAAGGTGTTTGCCAGTTTCAACGATACCTAGAGCACATGACACAACGGAGTGAGAGTTCAAGGTTAATACGGTCTAATTCTGCCACCTAGTGTCAAGGTTTGTGCTGCCGAAGTTCTGAGTGAAAGCGAGCATTTCACAAGCCCGTTTAGAGCTGGGGTTCCGAAGGCTTCACAGCTGGCCCCGCAATGCCAGGCCCTCATCCGAGTGTGTCCCTGGGGACAGCCCTCAGGTCTCTGGGGAAAATGCGACGGCGCAGACAGACACATCGGGCAGGAGGCCCGTGCACACGGCTGTGGTTTCCCCTGTGCTGTCCACCTGGGCGCCCAGCAAAGGAGACCAGCAAAAAGGAAGTAAAGACCCAGGACGGCCCCGGCCGACGACGACCCACACACAGCTGGCAGCGCGAGGGAGACGGACGCGAAAGCGAGGGCATCCTTCCTCCTCCACAGCGACACTCACAGTCTCCTGACTCGAGCTCTTAGGCGGGAGGCACCCAACGGAACGATGCACGACGTGACATGATCGGAATGACATTCGCAAGTAGCCAGGCCAGGGGTTCCTTTCACTCGGCAGCTACGTTGCAGCCAAATGCAGATTTCTTTCTCAGGCACAAAGAACCGTTCGTCCCATCCCAGGGACGTGGCCGTTCAGGTGAGGGGTGAAGCCTGCAGAGACGCCCACTCGTCAGCACCCTCATCCCAACGCTGCCCTGAGGGACCCGTCTCCTGACCCCGTCAGCGCCAGCACCCTGGCTGGGAGAGCGCACGGCAGTTTTCCAGGACGTCACCGCTGGGGGAAGCGAGTCACAGGCACCCGGTACTTCTCCGGCTGATTTCTTACAAGCATATAGGTACCTACGATTATCAAAAAATTTCCAAGTTTCATTTAAAACCATATTTGCATCTCATTTTTGGTATTCCTGAAACAGATCATTTTGCAAGTGATAAACTGCAAAGGGAAGAAATAGGGGTTGGAATGCAGACTAAGAAGAAATGATGTCTTAATTACTTCCGTAGCATTCATTTATTCATGCAACAAATATTTTGAGGGCCTACTGTGTGCCGATGTTGTCTGGGAGCTGGGGACAGGTGTTAAGCAAGCAGGATTCTTATCCACCTGCCGCTGAGTTTAATGCCGGTAGGAGGGAGACAGGAAAACGAACAGGCAAACAGGTGAAATCATTCCAGCAGAGCTAAATGTTACGAGGCACACGAAACAAGGCCGTGACGGAGAGGGTGCGGGGTGCGGGGTGCGGGGTGCGGGGCCCGCTACTCCGGGTGGCCTTCTGAGGTGGGGGCACTTGATCCGAAGGTCGTGTTAGGTGAAGGAGCCCGCCCTATAGGAACAGACGGAAATGTGTTCGGGAGACGGGCAGCCAGCCACTGGCGTGGGAACCAGAGCAGCCTGGCCAGGACCGAGCTGGACAGAGTTAACAAGGGCGCAGTGCTGTGACGTGAGGTCCAGAGTCACCGGCTGGATGGCCTGACAGGAACCTCCCCTGACCACTTCGAACTCCCCTTCCCTCCTGTCTCCACATTTTGGATTTTAAAAAATATACCATTAGAATATTTCCGAAGCCTGAGAGGCTCTCGAAGGTATAAGAGGTTTAATTTCAAAGCTACCACTGATGCTTATTTTCCAAAGATTATAATTCATAAAAAGCATGCATGCAAATGATGCTGACTCATCCTTTTAATTTTAAAACGAGTTGTTTTGGAAACAATAGAAACCATCCCAGCTAATCAGGGCATCGAAGCAAAATGTTACGCAGTTCGACGCTGCACCTACGTATAAATGAGACCGTAAGTGTGCACTTTGGGGTCTTCCTCTTCGATGGAGAACCTGAACCACTGATCCTGAGGCCCATGGCGTTTTGCTTTCTTCTCCAGGTCCCAGTACAATTCGATGCTGTGATGAGTCACTTTGCCCACAACAGGTGGGTGAGGTTTTGAGAATGGTGTGATTTCTAAAAAAGAATGAGACAGATTTCAGGACTCCATGCATAAGGAAGGGAGATCAGCAGAGTGCATTATAGCGGTTCTGGGATCGATCTACGTCTTCCTGTGCATCGTGTAAGTACCCCTCCCTACTGCTGGAAGAAGTTCTAAAAAGCTTAAGCGATGGAACATTCAGCTGACATAGCGAGCTACCGCATCCTTCAACGAGCAGATTGTACCACACCCATCAATGTCATACTGCACTCGTGGGTCAAAAGGCTGGTTAACGAATCAGATTAATTAGGCTGTTGATGAAACTCAGTTTGCCACTCTAATTCTTTAGTGAAATAGTGTCCGATACTTGCTGGCAGACAAAGATGAGAAGAATGATACAGCTAATCCAAATATTTGTAATACAGATGACAAAAGGTTGATATCTATTCTATAGAAACTGCTCTTACAAACTAACCAAGTGGAAAAAAATGCAAAGGCTACTAACAAACCAGGCAAAAGATGAGCAGCAAAAGCAAATGGCCAGTATAATGTCCAAAAAGATGCTTGTATTCTCTGGTGGCCATGGAAATTTAGAACTTTACATCCAGTCGGACTCTTAAAACCAGATATAACTACTGGAAGTGAGG